CTTTGCCATTGCCCCTGCCTTCCGCCCAGCCCAGGCCGCCCCGGCGCCTCAACCTCTCGGCCTGCAAAAGCTGAGGGCCCGAACCCTCACTTACAATGACCTTCATTTTAGCCCCTGAATGCGGCCCTCAGAGGGCCTAGCTGGGAGCTAAATGCACACAGAAACTGGGTTGGGGGAGGGGGGAGGTCCTCTGCGGAAGAGAGCCTTGACCATTTTGATCTGCTAAGGTCACTTTGGGGCTCCAGTGGGGAGGGGTGGAAGCTTACATACAGCCCTACCGCCTCAGGCCTCCCGGAGCCAGCCAGCCCTGCGGAGCTGGAGGAGTTGCTCCCCAGCGCAAGTGCAGAGTTGGCCTTTCCCTTGTTTGGGGGCGGGGGGGGGGTGTAAATCAATGGCTGGGACCCCATGAGCAGAGGTATTCATGGGGTATGGTGTGCCAAAGCCCCAGCGAGTGAGTGCCTGGCTTCTGGGGCTCTTCCGCTCCTCTGGGCACGGAGGTGAGACTGTCGCTGGGTCCAGGGCCCAGGGTTCCGAGAGGTGCTGGAAGCAAACCGGGGGAGGGATGAGCTGCCAAGGGCCCCCCAGGTGCTGTGTTCTAGGCCGGGTCCGCTCACACAGGGGAGACTGGGAAGCACATCAGAGACCCCTGAGGTGGAAGGTCCCCGGATTTTTAGCAGCGTCTCCCTCCCAGGGATGGGGAGGCGTGCAGTGAGGGTGACATTTCGCAGAGAGACAGAGAAAGCAGACACACACAGCGTTCAGGGGCAGTCTCTGGGCTCGTTTAATCAGGTCAGCATTTATTGGTAGGAAGCGGTAACATTACAACTGGTCCTCAGGCAGGAACCCGGGAGGGCCCAACGCCCCGCAGCCGCCCACGCGAGCGGGAGCCCTCCCGTGACAGCGGCTCCTCCAGTGCACTGACCATACCCCCCTCCGCCCCCCTGGAGGCCCTGGGCTCCTCTTTCGGCTTCCTTCCAGGTCTCAGTCACCGGCTCCCCGAGGAAAGGGGGCTTTCATAACCGTTGGGCTACCCGGCCGGGCCTCTTCGGGCCTCCGCACTGTGGTCCTCTGCCTTCATTCTCCCAAGTGAGGCGCGGGTGGCTCCGGCTCGAGCAGCGCTAGGGGCTACACTACAGCACTTTTCAGAAACATGGAGGGCATTTACAAAGGAGAGAGCTGTTCAAGCCAGCGTGCACTCACAAAACACAGCATTTTCCAAGGAACCATCGGGGCAGGAAACGGAGGGTGCGGGGCAGGGCAAAACCCCCAAGACACTTGGTTTCTCCAACACATAAGCGAGCAAATACAGAGTCCCCCAAATACCTCACGGAGACCGACCACACAGTCACTTCTACCTAAAAACGGGGTAAAATGTCCGAATCACTGGAGAGTTTCTGGAAATCAAGCACCCACAAAGAAAAAAACCCCACTGCCTGTGCCAAGCAGAGCGGTCCTGCCGGCACCTCGCCGGCCGGGTCAGTCTCCTTTGGGGCATTTCTCCTTGCTCATCTTTTTCATTTTCATCCTACGGTTCTGGAACCAGATTTTGACTTGTCTCTCTGTGAGGTTTAGAATCCTTGCCACCTCGTAGCGCCGGTCCCGGGTGAGGTACATGTTGAAGAGGAATTCCTTCTCCAGCTCCAGCGTCTGGTATTTGGTGTAGGGACAGCGCTTTTTCCGGGTGGAGCGAGCGTGGATCCAGTTTGCGGCAGGGTTGTCTGTGAAGAGGGGGATGGAGAGAAGCGGAGAGAAGGGGAGGTAGGGAGAGACGACAGGGT